AGGTTGAATGTCAGCTATGTCCTACCTTCAGTTTCCATGCTGACTGTCGCAGACAAGTACCTCATAGTCATAACAAAGGCCCAGCCCATGGGCCGACTTCGCGGACACATGGTATACAAGGTCGCCGCCACCGAGTTCTTGCCCCTTCGCGAGCGTCCATTGCACGATCATGATGAAGACACCTACCTGGCACTATTGAAAGAATTGCTCCGAACTGGACCGATGTATTTCTCCTATGCATTGGATCTTACCAACAGTTTCCAGCGTCAATCTCAGAGTGATCCCGGCCTTCCGATGTGGAAGCGCACTGACGATCGGTTTTTCTGGAATCGCTTCATTCAGTCTGACTTCATAGATTTCAGTCTCGGAGCACATGATGCAACCGGTATGCGCCACGGTCCGCAACCCGGAGCCGACCCCTTCATCCTGCCGGTGATATTTGGAATGCTACGTATCACCCCGGCCAGGGTCAAGTCAACCTCATTTACGTTTGCCCTTATCACCAGAAGATCTAGGCATCGGGGTGGGACCAGATACTTCTCGCGCGGCATAGACGAGCACGGCCACGTTTCGAACTATAATGAGACGGAACAGATCGTGATCCTCAACGATGCGGCGGGAGGGCTCTCTGGTTTTGCGCCAGGACAGTCTCTGGTCAAGGATAAATCCGGTGGCTCGGGTCAAGATCTCCAGGTCATGTCCTTCGTGCAGACACGAGGAAGTGTACCCGTATACTGGGCCGAAGTCAACAATCTCAAGTACACCCCGAAGCTTCAAGTTCGTGGAGTGGAGACGGCTGTCGATGCTGCGCGCAAGCATTTCTCGGAGCAAATCAGAATCTACGGGGAGAACTACATGGTTAATCTCGTCAACCAGAAAGGCAGGGAGGAGCGCGTGAAGAAGGCCTACGAACAGCTAGTGCGCATATTGATGTCTTCTTCGATCGAGGACACCGAGGCTGATGAAAACACTTCCGAGAAAGTCCATATAGTGGAGCCCAGCCAGAGGCAAAAAGAACTGGACCGCCTCCATTACATTTACTTCGATTTCCACAATGAGACCAAGGGCCTGAGATGGCATCGTGCCGAGCTGCTTTTGGAACGTCTTCTCGACGGACTTTCACGAGGCGGATACTTCCGTGGTGTTGAGGATCCCGGCGTTCCTGGCGGATCGTTAGAAATCCGGTCCCTTCAGTCAAGCGTCGTTCGGACCAATTGCATGGACTGCCTTGACCGTACGAATGTGGTACAGAGTATGCTTGGGCGATGGGCTGTGTCGCGGCAGCTCATGGACGCGGGAGTCCTTCGTCCAGGCGAAGCAGCTAATGACGATCGGGAGTTTGAGAACCTGTTCCGTAACATTTGGGCTGACAATGCGGACGTTGTCTCGAAAGCCTATTCCGGCACAGGTGCCCTCAAGACGGACTTCACACGCACCGGCCAACGAACACGGGCTGGAATGGTGCAGGATCTATGCAATTCCATCACCCGCTATATCCGCAACAACTTCCTGGACGGCCCCAGACAAGATGGGTTTGATGTGTTCTTGGGCACCTATCTGCCTCCTGATTCCGCTCTTGGCAACATCCAGCTCTTCGTCGACCGCAGGCCGCTGATCATCCAGTCAATCCCTTACATCCTTGCTGCAGGCCTGTTCATGATCTTTATTTCGATTTTCACGAGGCGGTTGCCGGACTCAGCTGTCTGGCCTATCCGCATATTCGTCTTTTTCTGGATTGTTGTTTCGGCCTGGTGCGCACGCTTCATCTTCGCGCATGGCATGCTCTATGTAAGTTTGATCTTTACACCATTGGTAAACATGGTCATTTATCACTAACGTCACGGTCGCATAGGTCAACTGGCCAAAACTGAATATTCCTACGGCTGGATCCGAGGGCTATCAGGATGCACTCATCAAAGCACGTTCCGACCCGATCGTTGGACAGTTGCTTCCTGCGAGGAGGCACCAAAGGGGCTACAGCAATGCTCGCCTGGTTTTCTTGGAAGAAGGTAAAACCAGGATTGAATGATTCGTGCCCTGTTCCCTCCAAGCGCCGCCCTTTTTTTTTTTTTTTTTTTTTTTAAATCATTGTAATAGCGCGTGTCCATGGCATATGCTCCTGTGTAGTTCTACGCTAGACAGCGGTTTGTGATTTTCTTCTGTTTCAATATTCTATTACTCTGATCATTCTCATTTCACCACTGGATTCGTGGTTCAACCCATTCCTCCAGCCAGATGTATTTACATATGGGTTGCTTTGCGTGCGTCTTGCGTCCTAGTCCTGATTTAGGGTCTTCCGGGGACTGTTCCCATATGCTCTAGATAGTATCAGACTGAATTCACACTGCAGACTAATGCTTCGCCCAGGTCTGAAAAGTGAGGCTTAGGAGAATTGACTGACCCCACGTGATGCTGCTGATAAGGAAGTCTCCCAATCTCCGAGTGTCGGAGACCCGCGGTCATGCAGGCACTACAAAAAAGATCAATCACATAATCTCGTACTTCCCCCCGCCTTTCAGGAAAGATTTTTCACATCCAGCCCTGATGAGAGGCTTCTCATCGTTCCCTCGCCCGTTCAGAAGTAATCAGGTGCGCCTTTTTTCTTGCTCATCATCGGCAATGGCTCGAAACTATGATGTAAGTGACGCTATGGCGGTCATTGTATCCATGACCCCGCGCCATTGATACAATAATGCTGAGCTCCGGACTAGGCTGCCATCTCAGCGCTGAATTTGCTGCAGAGCAACTTCACCGTCATCCAGGAGGTGAATAAAGACAGGCAGAACATGAATTTACGGTCCATTCCGGAGACCATCGAGTGGCTCCGACGCATCGGGTACAAGGTGCGTGTTCTTCCCAGCTTTGATATTATACTGGCGGAGCCTTGCTCAACTTTGAATACATATGGTCATGTGCTGATGAGACGTCTTTACAACATGTGTAGCCTTCTGATTTGGACCGTCTGAATCTTGTTCACATCTCCGGCACGAAAGGCAAAGGCTCAACGTCAGCTTTTGTGTCATCTATCCTTTCTCAATACACTGTCTCGCAATCACCCGAGTTGGAAAGCTCTTCCCGAAAAATTACCAAGGTTGGGCTGTATACCTCCCCTCATCTGCGGTTTGCCCGCGAGCGCATTAAAATCGACAATGCCCCGCTTTCCGAGGAAAAGTTCGCGCAATACTTTTTCGAGGTATGGGACCGCTTGGAGGAGGCTGCTCGAGTGGCCGGAGAGAACCCTTCAGATCCACGGACGAAACCTCAATACTTTCGTTATTTGACCCTGATGGCGTTCCATACATATATCAGTGAAGGTGTGGATGCCGCAGTCATCGAGTGTGGAATTGGCGGGGAGTACGACTGCACAAACGTGATTGAGCGGCCTGTTGCAACTGCCATTACAAGCCTCGGGATCGACCATACCGCGTTGCTGGGGAACACAGTGGAGGAGATAGCTTGGCACAAAGGTGGAATTATCAAGCCAGGCGCGAAGGCTTTCAGTTCACCTCAACCCGCCAGTGCCGAGGAAGTACTACACAAGCGTGCGCAGGAAAAGGGAACACAGCTGCAGATCGTGTCGAGACACCCTGAACTGAATAGCGGCAGTGAGCTCAAGCTTGGCCTTGCCGGCGACTTTCAATATGCAAATGCGTCGTTGGCTGCAGCTACTGCCGCCGAGTTCGTTGCGAGGTTGGGACTTGAAGATATTCCCTCGGACTTCATGGAGAGGCCTCTACCGCCCAAGTTTCGCAAGGGATTGGAAACGGCTCGATTGGGCGGCCGATGCGAGACCAGACATGAGAAAGACATCACATGGTACATTGACGGCGGTCATACATTGGAGAGCATCAAACTGGCTGGCCAATGGTTCGCTTCCCAGATTCCGATCAATTCGTCATCGAAGGCTGCAGCAGAGAAGAAGCTGCGGCTTCTGATCTTCAACCAACAAACCCGCGACAGTAATGCTCTCGCCCAAGCGCTCCATGAAACTCTCTCCAGTGCTCTAGGGTCGGGGACCCCATTTACCCATGCGATATTCTGCACCAACGTGACATACAAGGATGCCGGGTACCGACCGGACCTCGTAAGCATGAACACGAACGCATCTGATGTGGAAAGGCTACGGGTGCAGAACAGCCTTGCTGAGAAATGGAATGCCATCGACCCCAAGGCGGAAGTCAAGGTCTTTGGCACTATCGAGGAGGCTGTTGACTTTGCTCGGGAGCTTGCGACACAGGAGAGAGGTCGTATAGGTCATGATGAAGCGCCTGTCATGACTTTTGTCACGGGCAGCTTACACCTAGTCGGCGGTTTCCTTGACGTTATCGAGACCAAACCTGGTCCACAATAAGGCTACTGCCACATTTCATTACAATACTCAGGATCCGCATCTTTTCTGCCTGTCAAAAGGTTTTCAACAACGCGAAGATACCCATATGAAATTTTTCCTTTCGTCTCATATATCATCATATTCTTCTGGCCAGGAGGCGTTCAACCGGTTTTCAACAAGACCTCTCTTTCTAGAACATGCCCACACTGGATCTTTTGGCTCCATATTTGAAATGAACACCGACAGAAAACGATCAATGCAGAGTGATGTGCTGCAATATAAATTTTTCTTTTTAGCCGAGTGACTCGAGAAGCATTTACGATGGTGTCAGACGTTTCTCTTTCGAGGTCCATTCGGAGGATACATGGAGAATCAAAATAGATAGTAGATTGGAGGCGATAAGACCCTATTAATATGAGATAATATAGATCTTAAGGAGGACACGTGTCACTTGAATCGAAGTTATGTTCACTACCGTCTGATTACCTCTGTGCTTGTGGTTAATCTAAATGCGACTCGAATTATTGCTGTGGTCACCCGCGAAACATCTGTCACCATCAAATCAGTAGTGTAGTGTCGTGGGGCCATCGCCGAAAACCTTCCTGCAATCCATGCTTTCGCGCCCCCCGAATCTCAACCACCCCATCCCGCTCTCCACACGCCAGAGGTCATGTCCGACTCTAAGGATCCCAAGGGCAAGGCCCCCGAGGCCCAGTCTCCCGACAAGAAGTCCAAGAATGAGAAAGACGGCGCGGTGAAAATAACCCCTCAGATGGCGGAGTCGCTGTTGGAGAACAACCCCGCTCTCAGGAACGAGATGGCCGGCATGGACAAGGAGAAGGCTGCGGAGGCCATGCGCAAGATGAACATCGCCGAACTGCTGACGGGTCTGTCGGTTTCCGGAAAGAATCAGAAGGATATGGCATCGTACAAGTTCTGGCAGACGCAGCCCGTGCCTCGATTCGATGAGACGAGTAGCGATACTGGTGGGCCCATCAAGATCATTGATCCTGAAAAGGTCTCGAAGGAACCGGATACTCTGATTGAAGGGTTTGAATGGGCGACGCTCGACCTGACGAACGAGACTGAGCTGCAGGAGTTGTGGGATTTGTTGACATATCACTACGTCGAGGACGATAATGCCATGTTCCGATTCCGATATTCGCAGTCGTTCCTACACTGGTGGGTGCACAACGTGGCCGAAAGGATCTGTCCCTACCGGCGTGTGAGAGAGTGGATTATTTGAGCGCTGACAATCTGACTATAGGGCTCTTATGTCGCCTGGCTGGAAAAAGGAATGGCACGTCGGCGTCCGCGCTACCAAGTCGCGCAAATTGGTAGCGTCCATTTGCGGTGTCCCGACAGAGATCAATGTGCGCAATCAAAAGATCAAGGTCGTCGAGATCAATTTCCTGTGCATCCACAAGAAGCTTCGCTCGAAACGGTTGACCCCTGTTCTTATCAAAGAAATTACCCGTCGTTGCTACCTCAATGGCATTTACCAAGCCATTTACACTGCCGGCGTGGTGCTTCCCACACCTGTCAGCTCGTGCCGCTACTACCACCGTCCTTTGGATTGGTTGAAGCTTTACGAAGTTGGCTTCTCGCCTCTCCCTGCTGGATCCACCAAGGCGCGCCAGATCACCAAGAATCACCTTCCTAGCAATACCTCCACCCCCGGTCTTCGCCCCATGGAACCCAAAGACATTGACGCCGTGCATGATCTTTTGCAACGATACTCGTCGCGCTTTGCTCTGAACCAGGCCTTTACACGGGAGGAAGTCGACCACTGGCTCGTGCATAAGCCAGAGACAGTGAAAGAGCAGGTCGTCTGGGCTTACGTGGCGGAGGACGCTGAAACGCACAAGATCACCGATTTCTTCTCTTTCTACAACCTCGAATCCACCGTCATTCAGCACCCCAAGCACGACAATGTGCGTGCTGCTTATCTGTACTATTATGCAACCGAGACGGCCTTCACCAATGACATGAAGGCTCTCAAAGAGCGTCTGCTGATGCTGATGAATGACGCTCTGATCATGGCCAAGAAGGTAACCATAGAAACTCCACTGCCCTTTGTCTCGATTTGCTTTACTGAAGCTGACATTATCTTTGATAGGCACACTTTGATGTTTTCAACGCACTCACACTTCACGACAACCCTCTGTTCCTTGAGCAACTCAAATTTGGAGCTGGCGATGGCCAACTTCATTTCTACCTCTACAACTATCGCACCGCCCCTGTCCCCGGAGGAGTTAACGAAAAGAACCTGCCGGATGAGAAGAGAATGGGAGGTGTTGGCATTGTTATGCTGTAGAAACCTTCTCACGCCATGGATCATTGCCTCGACGATCACATCTTATAGCTATTTTCTACTATGAAGTGAATCGGGACAAATTTCTGAGAATGAAGATGAGCGTAGGAAAAATTATTGAAATCGCTTCTCACGATATTTCTGTCTTTAATTATACCTGTGAGTAAAACGATGTACAAATGTAGATCTACTGTTTTTAAGGCAACTATGATGCCTGGGGCAGCAACTTGTCATGTAACGGGGTGCCCCAGGCGCCAAGGCAGCCCCATTGCCGTTTCCGTGACGTCGTCATCACATGGAAGGTCCAGACCCTCTGCTGCTTTCCCTCGCATCTACAGATTGTCTTGTTCATCCGGCCGATTGTCCAGTGGAATCGCTCTGGTCCTCGAAATATGAATAACTATGAATAATCTTGTCTTGGCTATCGAATCTGCAGCCTAAAGCTGACTGTTATCATAAACTCCCATTCCTCGTATGTACTCCGCAGTCCACCCCCATCCAACAGCCATTATACCACTTCTCGACTTGGTCAATGAGGGGTGAATCGATAGAGCGCGTGTATGCACTGAGGTCTGCATTGAAGGCTGCTACATTTTCAGATACATCGTTTGTTCTCTCTGCCTGCTCAAAATGGGTGTCGGTCAGTCGACTGAACATATGGGCCACACAGGCACCCCAGGTTAGTATTTGACCACCACGGTCTTCCCGAATCCACCGACTCCTAGCAACGTACACTTCCTCGACACAATTGGCACGGGAAGAGCGGCAGATTTGCTAAGCCAATCTAATGTGACGACAGAACACTTAAGCCAGGTGCTGGCTGAGCGCTTCGCGACTAAATGTTTCACTCCGCTGGAGCTCACTCACTTCAAAGATAACTTCTTTTCTCGCGCAATAGACCAGGGGGGCATAAAATACTGGAACGAGAAGATCCTTTCGGACTTTCTTGGTATTCCTGACAGTAGCGATTCCCACTGTCCGCTTGATGCTGGACCGGTGATCTTCCGGATGGTTTCGTACTTGGGCGCATTCCCCTTTCAGAATACATTGGCCCCGAGCGTTCTGACCTTCGAGGCCATGGTGAAAGTTGCAGTCTTGCTAACAGAACGATATGGGAAAGTTCTTCGACGAGCGCGCAAGGACCGCATCAAGCTTTTGTTCGGAAGTCTCGCTGATGTCGGGAGGCGTGATGTCGGTGGGCCTCGAGGCGAGGAGGATGTGCATAAGGAGACAGATGATTCTTCCGCTGCCAAATCGCGTGTGACCGGATTTGAGATTGATGCGCCTGCTAACGATGACTACGAGGACGAGGATGAGGATGATGATGATCTCGCCCTGGCAGCCTTGGAATCTTTGGATGCTATTGACGTGTTCAAGCATGACTCTCGCATCGATAAGAAGGTCTATGAAGCTCGAATATCCGTCGCTACGTTCCGTCGTCTTCTGATGCTCTTGATTGTCATTGCACCTTTAAAGTCTTTGGAGTCAGTGAAGACGTATACCTCAGACCTGAACGAGGCGCGAATGGAGAGCGTTCGGACAGAGGCTGATACCATTTTGGCTGCCTTCAGTATTGAAGACTCCGATGGTGGTATCGGTTATCAATCATTTGCAAACATAACTTCGACCGCTTTACCATATCTCTTTGATCCATTGACGCCCCTTTTCGAACATCTTCTGTTCAGCAAGAACCTGGATCTGACCCAGAAGAGTGGATCTGACGCAACAGTAACAGACACAATTGAAAAGCCACCAGATGGTCCACGATCATCTCCATCGACGATTATGCTTTCCGGAAGTTTTGAGTCGACCATCCTCAAGTCGAGTGTTGTATCTCATCTTTCATTCTTCCTCTCTTCTTCTACCGCGAACGTCAATCTACTCCGGGGAAACATGCGCCTGCATCCCGTTTTCTCAACAGCTGCACACGGTTCATCATTAACCTCTTTCTCTCACAATGTTCTCACATGGAACGCTGGCACACTACTCCTCCTCGAGGGTGTCGTATCTGAGTCATCCGAACAGGGAGAGGGCATGATTACGCTGGGAGCGTACCTTCCGCAGCCCTGGAAATCTGCACCATTGTCCCATTCTCCAACGAAGCCTTCCGACTCTTCGGCCTTGCCCTGTCTCTTTGAACTTTCGCCAAAGCACCAGCTCTTGCAAGGCAATCCTGCACCCTCCGTGCAAAAGCCAAATGCCCCCGTTGCATACTTCTCCACCAGTACGGGTATAGCAATTGGATGCCAGATTCCGCCTCCATCTCGAAGCCAACACCTGAAGCCTATGCCTCTTGGAGCAGGCAGCTTGACCATTGACGCGAGTCTCGAATCTGCAACCTTCTATGTCTCGTCCATCGGCCACAATGGCGTTTTCCTCCCCCCAGCTACTACAAGGTCACCGTCGGAACAAACGGTTAAAAGGCAGATAGACATCTTCACCCTGGAAATATGGGGCTTGGTCCCTGAGCCTTCGGACGCATCTTCTGCAGAGCCAAGGCAGAGCGCAGTCGAGTTGCAGCGGGCAAAGTGGGAATTTGAAGCCCGTGAGGCTGAACGGAGACGAAACCTAAATCTGAAAGCTGGAGCAGGGGATTCTGCTATGGAGGGCGCGAGATGGCTTCTAGAGACTGCTGGATTAATTGGCGATAGGCCTGGACGGGGTGGTGGAAGTATTTGATGCCGAATTCACGGGCACTGATTTTTGTGCCCCAAGTCAACTCACGACGTTTCTTTCTGGTTGCAGGCAACGAATGGGATGCGGATGCTCAGACGGGCAGGTTTGATTTTTGTCGGCATGATCCATCATCTATATCGAGTCGTTGGTTTGGAAAGTCCACTCGAAAGAGAGTTCTCATGCTATGCTCATGCTATGAACAAGCATTGATTCTGTGTTTCATGGATTCTGACGCTACAGAGGTACGACAAACAGGATATATAATACATGATTTATGCGAGCTGAATACTCGCCATAGGCCTCCATTTCATACTCTGAGAGGCGTAAGGCCAGTCGGGGGCCCATAGAAGTCCTTCAACTCCTCTTCTTCGTCTTCTTCCTCAACAGGCCCATCGATGTTCTCGATTTCCGATTCCTCATCCGCAGCCCTACTCTTTAGGAACCGACTTCGCGCGCCTGAATTTGCTGCAGGAGCAGGAGTTCCGCTTTTTCTCGTGTCCTCGGCCTCGTGTTCATCTTTGTTCTCGCGCGGAAGACGGAAGGCGAGGAATCCCTCGGGGGCACGTTCTGCGCGATCCATGACTTCATTCATGTACTTGCGCACCTCGTCTGGTGGCTTGACCACCCGGCCCAGAGGCTCTAGGAACTTCGGGTTGGCGCTGTAGATGCGAATCGTGACGGGCTGGTAGAACTCCTTAAGATTTGGCTTGTTTGCGTCTTCTTTTGACTCCTTGGATTTGGTGGAATCTGGTTTGCTGGGAGTTTCAGCCTGAGCCTTCTGACTGCCTTTATCGTCTGACGCTTTGGCCGAATCAGCTGCGTTCGGCTTGGGGTCGGTAGCGGCGGAAGCGGAATCCTGATTACTAGAGGATTGAGTGTTGTCTTTCTCTTTCGCGGCCTCATCGGGCTTGTCTTTCTCTTTGCCCTCCTCGCCTTCCGCTGCCTTGTCTTTTTTCTTGTCCGCTTTCTTCGACTTTGAAGTCGACTTGCCCTTTGCTCGTGACGTGGTCGTCACTGAAGCATCTTCTATGGGGAACGGTGTGTTGGGGTCCACCTTCCGGATGAGTAAGAAAGACGCTAGAACCGTGTTCCCGCCTGGAAGCCATTCTAAAATGGAGTACTCGGGGAACAAATATCGGTCCCCTGAACCTGCGTGGCCCGAAGTGCTACTTCCGTAGGGAGTCAATGGTGAGGTAAACTCAAAGACAACCGACTTGTAGCCCACCCTGGGCGGAGGCGGGGGAGGAGCGGGACGATAATAGGCAGGAGACCCGTGTTGCTGTGGACGTGACTGAATTGAAGGAGATTGGCCTTGGAATGGCGGATACTGGGCACCTGGACGTGGTGCTGGAGTGTGGTTCGGAGGAGGCTGGTTCATTGGTCGTACCGCAGGACTCGAATTTGGCTGCTGAGCACTAGAAGCCGGGCCTGGAGGGGCTGGCGGGACTACCGCGATACTAGGACTAGATACACCACCAGAGGGCGGTCGACTTGTCGCAGTCGTTCCCGGCTCCTGTTTGACCGAAGGGGCAGCATTAGATTTCTGAGCAGCGGGAGTTTGAGGTTGCTTGGTTGGAGTTTGACTGGAGTTCTGTACTGCAGACTGAATCGCTGGCGAGGGCTTGGAAATATGAACTTCCACTCTTGACATCGGCTGCGGCTGCGGCTGCGGCTTAGCTTGTGATTGTGAGTGCGGCCGATGTTGGGGGGTCGAGCCTGGCTGGGCCTGCGACGGGCCCTGCTGTTGACTCGGCTGCTGTGATTGCGAATGCTGGGAATTCTGTAGCGGTGAAGGCTGATGTTGTCGCTGTTGAACTCCCTGCTGCGCAGGTTGCGGCGTGTGGCGCGATGTCTGCGATTGAGCACTGCCTGGAGCTTGCCCTTGTTGTTGTTGTTGTTGCTGCTGCCGCTGTTGCTGTTGCTCTCTCGCACGAATGATCGCATTCAGTTCATCAATATGAGCCTGAAACGCTCGGAGCTGTTCCTGAGACGCTTTGCTGCTAGCAACCACTCTCATCAACGCTTTGAGATCGGGGTCTGAAGCAGCTCGGGTCGCAAGCATCTGAATGACCGGGTCCGGACTGGGCTTTGGAGGTTGAGGGGGTTGTGCATGTTGAGACGCGGGCGGACGCTGGGCTGACTGAGGGGTGTAGGGGGGACGAGGAGCATGGTGAGTAGGCGGATGACTGGGTGTTCGGGCTGGATGTGGAGGCGGATGTTGGCTGCCCGGGGGGTAAGCCGGTTGTGGTGAAGCCGAGTGGGCGGGGGAGTAATGAGAGGGCTGGCGTGAGTGCTGAGATGGTGGCGGATGAGGATAGGAATGGTACTGCTGGAAGTTGTTGGGATGGCCATAGTGAACCATCGGCCGCTGGGGGGGAGTGTATTGAATCGGTGGCGGCGCGTTAGGATCTTTGACGGTGTACAGCACAGCATCGAAAAGGTGAGGCCCAACGGCGATGTTGCAAGGTCCAACTTTCAGCATGGACTCTTTGGGAGGATTTTTGCCTTCAATCTGCTCTCTTTTAGACTTCTTGGGTTTGGTGTAGTATCGCTCTAGAATGCCGTCGCTGAGCCATTTCTTCTTCGACCGTTCCAAGGAGGCGAGAAGGACAGCACTGTTGTAACAGAGAAACCTCGTCAGTTCAAGTGCTTAAAGGATACAAGCACAAAGCGAAGGCCACTGCCTTCGACGAAACCCTGAAGTACGAACCTCTCAGCGATTGACTGATACTCTCTGGATGAAAGGTCGGCAGGCTGCGGCGAGGACAGTGTGGGGAGAGCCTCTCCATCCTTGATCTTCGTCGGCAGGGGCTTCTCAATCAACTCTGATTCAGGTGGAGGAAGTGGAGGCGTGGGAGCAACACTCGGTGTAGAACCTTTCTTCTTAGAAGAAGAGCCTTGTTGAGCTTGAGATTGAGGCGCGGCTTCAGATTGACGTCTTTTTGCGGAGGGTTCGCGACGGTCGCGGGTGGAGAGTTTGCGCTTCTCAGCCATGGTAAGCGATCACACGCGAGGCAGTCAATGGAAGAACCTTGCTAGAGGAGATCAAAAGCATCTCCAACGGTTCTGTGAGTGACTGGAGGGGACGAGACGAAAGAGGCGAGGGAGAGTTGCGGAGGAGAAGAAAAGGAATGCGGAGACTTCACAAGCGATGAAATCACGCCGCTTTCTACTGCTGGATGTCACACATGAATCATTTCATTCTATAACTGCCTCTTTTTCTCCTTCTACAGCTGCTTCAGATTTACGTCTAGATCTATATAGATACAGTCTCTATCTATTCCAATGACTATTTGATAATATTTCGCCCCATCAAAGGCTTATCTTTCACTCGCTCCGGCGGGTCCCCGAGGTTCGTTTCCTATCTCTTTCATCGCTTGCACTCACTCTGCTCTCTTCTTTCGGAAGCTCGTATTGAGGAAATGGCTTGCGTGCTCATACGATCTGGCTATTAGATCCTTCTCCACGATGGTTGAGCTACAACCAATCTTCAAAAAGGCCTACTGGACGCTGGCCGCTGGAGGTCTGGTATATGTGAGCTTTATCTGCTCCCTCACATGGCCCAATGTCCAAAGATTGTACGCTTTGCTTATCCATATGTCTAAGAATGCGACTAACAACTGTTGCAACATACGCATAGTGCCTTGTATGCGCACAAAGTCAATCCCGCTCTTTGGGAGGATGTCAATCAGGTCGAGCGCTTCGGATTCCTGAGTACGTGGAAACGCCCAGATATCCATGAAGTGGCCGTAGTTGACTCGGCCAGGAACGCAGGTCCAGCCCTTCAATCTGGTTACCCCTGATAACGAGACGATCTATGGCTGGCATTTACTCCCTCTACATCTCTGTCTTGAGCACGAAGAGGAACTCAACGCGAACGAGCCATCTGGACCAGCTGAAGACTATACCCGAACCCCAGCTTTCAAATTCCTAGCCAACGACCCTAACGCTCGAGTAGTTGTCAACTGTAAGTGCATTGATTTCTTCACCTCGCGACTCAATCAAAAGCTGCAGTATGCTAACCAATCCTTGATCAACCGCAGTTCACGGCAATGCTGCGCATCTCGGCTCCGCTCAGAGACCCGAAATCTATCGCATGCTTCTGGGCTTGTCAACGCCCTCCAACCCCGTCCATGTCTTCGCAATCGACTATCGCGGGTTCGGAGTGTCCACCGGCTCCCCGACGGAAGAAGGCTTAATTACCGACGGTGTCTCCCTCATCAATTTCCTGACCGCCGGTCCTTTGAACATCCCGCCATCCAGGATCGTCATCACGGGACAGAGCCTGGGGACAGCTGTCAGCGCCGCAGTCGCCGAGCGCTACGCCTTCGGGTCCCCGGATCCCGCAGCTGTCCAACCCGCCATTCAAGACCCCGAACCGTTCGCAGGCGTAACCCTCCTGGCATCATTCAGCAACCTGCGAAACCTTATCGAATCCTACAGCTTCAAGGGTTTTACGCCCCCGATGCTCTCTCCCTTGATGGGTTACCCTCGTGTACAGAGATGGGTAAGAAGCCATATCGTCGACCACTGGGACACGGCCGCTCGCCTTGCACGCCTGACGGGCGTCGGACCCTCGGCCGAGGAAGACGCGAGGTCAGGCTACACCAGCAAAGGCCTGGATCTCGCCATCATTCATGCATTCAATGATGTCGAGATCCCCTGGTACGAAGGACGTAGTGTCTGGATTGCTGCCACTGGTGAAAAGCAGAACGATGCCCCTGGCACCCTTGTGTACCAGAAAAAGGAAGAGGGTGGCCCAACCGAGGTGAAGATCTGGGAGAACAGGTCCGGGGAGACATCGGCCGTGAAGAAGGTTCGATGGGAACGTGTAGGCTACGGTGGTATGTCGCAAACTCCTTTCAACGTTCCTATTCCCTAGACAGAGACAGAACTGATATATTCTAGGTCATAACCGTGTGGCTACTTTCTCCGTTGCTGCTCTCGCTGTGCTCAGAGCTTTCGAGGAGTAACGATATTCCTAGATCTTCCCCTATGACCCCGGGAAATAGCTCGACAGTTAACTTCTGTAATCAGTCCCAATATATACCCGTTCATTTGCCGCCATCAGTAAAAGCATGATATCGACTTTGTAAATCACTCGTCATTCCATCTGACCATAGGAGGGGAGAGACGTTCAGGATACATACAAGAACCCATAACCGTTGCCAAAATGCCAATTATCTTACAATTCGCTTTTTCCCAGCTCCCATAACAAGGTATATTGTCAAAAAGCCAAAGAGAATCCATCACAAGACCCACAGGGTTTGTCTATATTGCAAAGTAATACATGGCTCCAAATGCTTTGGGCACAGAGGTGAAGAGGACATGGGATGAGAATACATGTGGAGAGAAGCAGACCGCTGCAGTAGTAAAATGTCAAGATGCTCGGGGTATGTATGAGCTTCATCTTGAGCAGAAGAAGGTTCGTAAAAGATTGTCCAGTCGGATATGTATGGAACGGAAGATGACAGCACAACGACAAGAGACGATGGCCATGGCGTTTATTTCTTGTGCCTGTCGGCCTGAGCCTTCAGGTACTTCTGGACGAGTTCCTTCCTGTAAGTAGAACAAGTTGTCAGTAATTGTCGGAGCGGCACGTTGGCAATCAGGAGTGGAAGGCTTGAACATACTGTAATTGAGGTTGAGCCTTCTCGTAGTGGCTAAACTCCATGGTAAATTCACCCTTGCCCTGGGTGGCAGCACGCAGATGCGTGCTGAAGCCAAACATTCCGTTCAAGCTGCAGTCTGCATACACGGTGAACTCGTCGACACCAGTCTCGGTATCATTGATCGTAGCATTACGCTTGTTGAGAAGAGAGATAACGTCACCTTGGAACTCGGCGGGAGCGGTGACAACGATCTTCATCATGGGCTCGAGGACAGAAGGATTGCTATCCATAAAGGCCTTGCGGAAAGCCTGCTGGGTAGCGTTCTTGAATGACATTTCGGACGAATCCGTCATGTGGGTAGCACCATCGTTGATCACCATCCTAGTACCAAGCACCTTGTGCCCAATGAGCGGACCCTTTTCGCAAGCAAGGTTGAAACCCTTCTCACAGGCAAAAAGGAACTTCTCGGAGATACTTCCACCAACAATCTGTTCCTCGAATTTGTTCTCCTCAAGTTTGCCGGTGGGCTCCATCCAGCCGACGACGCGGGCATATTCACCAGGACCGCCCGATTGTTTCTTGAGCAAGTGGTCGAACTCGACTCGGTTGCCGATGGTCTCGCGGTACGCGACCTGAGGCGGGCCAGTCTCACAGTCGACGCGGTATTCGCGACGCATGCGCTCGATGTAGATGTCAAGATGCAATTCACCCATGCCAGAAATCAGAGTCTCCTCGCTCTCCGCATTGTACGATACCCGGAAGGTGGGATCCTCCCTCTGGAAACGAGCCATAGCTTTTGAGAAGTTGGCGGCGTCCTTGTTGTTCTTCGGCTTGATAGAAAGCGAGATGACAGGTTCGGGAACAAACATGGACGTCATGGTGTAACCGAGCTGCCCATCGGTGAAAGTGTCTCCAGAGGCGCAATCCACACCGAACACGGCGCAGATCTCACCGGCTCCAATCTCGGAAACCTCCTCCATCTCATTGGAGTGCATGCGAACAATGCGAGGAACCTTCACCTTCTTGTTGTTGCGAGCATTGAAGACGTTGGAACTCTTGCGGAGGGTACCCTGGTACACGCGGATGTAGGTCAACTGCCCAAAATTGCTTTCTTCCAGCTTGAAAGCAAGACCAACAAAAGGCTGGGAGTTGTAGGGGACAAGCTTGACCGAAGCCTCGTCGCGCTTCTGGTCAAGAGCGAGGTTTTCGACTTCGGATGGGTTAGGGAGGTAGTCGATGACACCATCAAGCATAGGCTGCACAGATTTGTTGGCCAGTGCAGAACCCATGAAGACGGGAGTGAACTTCAAGCCAATGGTTGCTCGTCGGATGGCGGCCTTGAGCTGCTGCTCCGTAGGCTCAGTCTCCTCCAGGAAGAGCTCAGCAATCTCGTCGTCGACATCGGCAAGCGTCTCAATGAGCATCCTTCTTCTTTCCTCCACAACTGACTTGACCTTCTCAGGAATCTCATCCTTGATCATGATATTCTCACCGCTCGGTCCTTCATTGTAAATGGACTTCATCCGAATCAGGTCGACCACACCTTCGAACTCGTCTTCGGCACCAATCGGCACCTGAACGGCAGCAGCAGGAATCTTGAGCTTGGTGTTAATCTGTTCAATAGCCTTGAAAGGGTTGGCACCCATACGGTCCATTTTGTTGATAAAGGAAATTCGAGGAACGTTGTAGCGGCGCATCTGGCGGTCGACCGTGATAGTCTGGGACTGGACACCTGATACAGCACACAGGATCATGACAGCCCCATCAAGAACGCGCAGCGCTCTCTCTACTTCGATAGTGAAGTCGATGTGTCCTGGTGTGTCAATCAGGTTGATGTGGTATTTCTCCTCTTTTCCATCGTCTCCCTTCTTTACCCAGTCACAGAACGTCGCTGCGGACTGAATAGTGATACCCTTTTCACGCTCGAGATCCATCGAGTCCATCTTGGCACCAACATTGTCACGACCGCGGACTTCGTGAATGGCACCGATACGACCAGTGTAGAAGAGGACTCGTTCGGTACACGTGGTTTTTCCGCTGTCAATGTGTGCCTATAAGGACTAAGTCAGATGCTGTTTCTCCACGGGAATGCTTGAAGTTCCCCGAGCATGACTTACGGCAATGCCAATGTTCCGGAGTCTGGACAGTCTGGTCGCTTCAGCAGGGTCAAGGTTGTCAATGATTGCCTCCTGAGACAGACCCTCGGGATTGGAAGCAGCGGCCTCGAGACTGAGCAGAAGACCGAGATTAGCGATTGAACATACGAAACACAAGATAGAATCTAGCAATTCCATGGAGGGTTTCAATGATCACTAGAATGTAGCAACTACTTACACGGCGGCAGCAGAAGCAGCGGAGGCATTCCGTCGTTGCAAATTGTGTCTGTTGAAAACCGACTGATAAGCCGGGCCGGCAATGGGTGAACGGAGAGCGGCCGTCGACGCGCATCGTTGATACAAGAAGTTCTGAGACTGAAGACGCACAGGTGATCTGGTCAAACCAGATAGGGCACGGTGAGGTAACCGTGCGAGAGAAGGGCACCGCATGTTGTCAACCACCACCACTGGAAGCTGGGGAGTGCTGATGCTGCTTCTACTCTCAGCGTCGTGATCTTTTTTTCTGCTCCGAAAAAAGTTCGGGGATGCCAGGAACAAGGCACGTGACTTTCTCTCATTGGTCGTGACTGAGACACCAATGAGATCCGAGAAGTCCAGACCATTTCTACAGTTTATGTACTCTGTAGATTTGATACGGCTGCCTGACAACTACTATGGCAATAAATACTATGATTATCTCAGTTTCTGCATTAAACAAAATGATCGAATCTCAGTTGCTGCGGAAATAGTTCGCCGCCAAAACTGGTCCCAGTTTCACTTCCTTCGCGAATGCATCCAGATCATACCTTATCCTCTGCCAGTTACCAACGGGCTTTCCACCCTTTGGAGCGTACCTCTTGGCATCGAAACCGTCTGGCTGCTCGTACAGCAAGAAAACATACCTGTGCGGCGAGCTTCCCGGTGGAGGCGCAGGGCCGATATAGTTCGCAATGAAAGGGGCTGATGTTGTCAGGATGGCCTCGCCGGTGACGGTGGTATTCTTCGATGGCTCAAATCCCGGATGGATCCAGTGTAGGATGGGTCCTAAGAAGCCGAATGATGGAAATGGAGCATCGAGGTCCAGACTGATGACAATATAGGTGCCAGATGATACGTTGAAGGAAATCTGGGGCTCTTTCTGTGCATCTAGATGCAGAGTTTGTGCATCAGTAATCGAGATATCGTTTTCTTCAGCCTACTAACCAGCTCTAGGAAGATATTGCCCAGGTGTCGTGATGCGTTGCTCGCCGAATGTCAGACCAAGAACTTTGGAGCTATCATTCTCGGCGGCAGACAAGTCGGCTTCGACGGACTGAATCGACGGCATTTTCAAACGATCGGTCGATGAATGCGAAGTTGCCTATCTCGATTCTCGACGAAGGTGCCAAGTTCTTAGATGAAAGCCAAGTAATACGAGTCAGATAAAAGTGACAGGTTGTCTGTGCAACCTGCCCATCTAGTTGGTTCGGTGTTAACGGGCTCAACGGAGGTAACGGAGTCAAGCGTTCGTTGTCCTTAAGCCTGATTTGGTGTTATCTTCATGTGATTCTCATATCTGACAATATTATTATTGTTGACCTGGTTGCCCTTTTGATAGAAGGCGCAGAATAGATGGAATTCTCTCTATCAAACTGGAAGAGGCACTCGACTAGGTATACCTAGGTATGATGTAATGTATGCAACTGTATGATACAAGCCAATACATCGATTGAAAATCCATTTCACCGCCTTGTCTTCCGCCGCCATTGGATTACCTTCACCTGAATGTGTCATGGACGGGATATTCTCGATTATACCAGGGTAACGTCGATGAAGCAGATTGGGACGTCTTAATGGTCGATGTTGTCAACCTTCCATCGCTCGACTTAGGCAGCTTATGAAAAGATGCGTTCATCTTTGAGACTGCTTGCCTCTGTCTCCCGCAGCCAGCCTTCGAAACTCAGAAAGCCGGCAATTAGCTTGGATCATGTAGGTAACATTTATCCATATCAAGTATCTCTGAAGTAAGCTATATTGATGCGACTATTAGTTCATACAAAGACAGCGGGTTCTGGGCTTATGGCGCGAGATAGTCAGGGCGCTGAACAGTTAGTCTTTCGTACTCGGAAGTCTGGATTTGAGTTGCCATGCCTTTTAAATCTTGCAAGCTGATTGATATCTCGACCTTAAAGAGATTCCTAACTCGCCGACTCGGGATGAGTTGCGCAGTTATGCTCGTTCAGGATTCGAGCGGCATCGCAACGTAACGGACTTGGTGAGTATCTGAAATGGCTCAGAAGCTCATGGCTAATCTGTTGGTTGCTGGTAATAAAGCAACATATACGATATCTAATCTCGGTATGAGGGATTACCCCCGAGTTCTTAGCTCGTTGATTGACAATTTGGCAGACCGGAAAATCCGAGTTCGAAACTATGAAACGGTATATCGAAGAACAAATTGTGGGTTGAACCAATCTCAGAGAGCAGACTCATGGACTGAGACTACTGGGTATTGCGTCTGCTACAAGGCATCTGGCTCAAAATTGGCTGGTGGAGAAGAGCTTCTCGTATTCTTACAGGACCCTGAAATGTATATATGTACATGTCATCATGAAGAATTACACTGTAAACGATGGACATCTTTCACAACACGTTCGTAGTGTCAAAGTTCACTTTTGCCGCATCCATAAATCTCTCACAGCAGCTAGTACCCCGATCGATTTTTCATCGGCAGGCTCAATAGCTGACCGAGCGGCGTCCTGCTCTGGAATCTTCGGCGTTGGCCTCTTGCCAGCCTCCTTCGCAGCAGCCTCAATGGCGGCATGACGCTCTCTCCAGTCCCGATCTTCCTTGTCTCGGATTTCGAGTTCACGCAGCCAAGCATCCCGCTTCTCCTGTGCCTTCCGCTGCTCCACCATCTTCTCGAACTCCCTCCGTTGCTGGCGCTCTGTTTTGAAGTACATGCCTCCGGCAACAACAGCGACAAGTGTAAAGAATTGGGCGTAAATACGAGCGCGGAACATCTTGTTCATTTCGACCGAGTCACCGGCCTTCATCGATCTGTAGGCGCGGTAGAGGGCATAGCATGTGGCGGCACATCCTGAACGCGAAAATCCGCATTAGACCGGAGCTACTGGATGATGATGCGTATCTCAACTCACCTAGCGGGATCAAGGGCTCCTCCTTGAGCCGTCTGCGGAATTTCTGGAGAGACGTCTCCTCCTGGAATTGGCTGGTGTTTCATGACTGGTTAGCCATTCTTGTTCCTCCGCATCTCAACAGCTAGCGATAAAGATGACTTCGGTACGTACGGGTTGTCCTCCAGGGAGGAAGGAAGAGGTTCCTTGTTCATTTTGTCTTTCAAGGAGGTATCACGGTTGAGTTGTTGGGTTCGCAAAAAGTTTCGAGCTGCGCGGAATTGATTCGAGCGTGACTGACACGCCACTGCTCGGAAGACCAACTGAGAATGGAGGAGAGCACTGCAATGGTTGCAAGTTTCGCAAAGATCAAGTAAAGGAGGTGATTGAATGATTCAAGCAGATTGTTTTCTCCACACGTTTCTCCTCTTTTCAAATTGTGGAAGGCAGATCTCGCCCCGATCTATGGAATGTCTGGAGAGCACATGACGTCGCGGAGGATCTGGAGATCTTTGCGGTAAAATTCAGTACCTGTATCGTACATTACCAGGGACTCGTTTTTTACAGTTCACTGACAGCGATTTGAAGCTATTTACACCAAAGGTACTCACTCTGGTGGAAAGAGGAATCAAGGCTAAATGAGACGAGGAAGTCCTGCGTATAGGCAGTTACTACTTGCTCTATCATCGTCCTTAAGGATATCTGCTAGACCTGCTCTTGTGACTGCAGACTATCCACTTTTTTTCTCGCAGGAAAGTGATGATACACGACTTCGCAGAAGACAAACTGAATTTAGGCTTATATTTACGTTCTGAGACCGACGTCCATTGAAATGTAAGTCACTTTAATGTCATTATTTTACAGTTAGCCAAGCTTTCTGACACGATCAGACTTATTAGTAGTTCGCATCGTCTGAGAGGTATGCTCAGTATCTTTACCTGTAGGGAAATTAGGGCTCAAGATGAGGGTTGATGAGTCAACCAGCTCTCCGCTCCGATCACGGAATTCTGGTTGGCCCCGCGGGAAAGATTAATTGTATGTCGAAGGCGTGCTTGTGCCACTGGTGAATTTTCAATATCGCCGCTGACTCCTTCGATTGCGTTCTTCTGACTCTAAATCGCAATCAGTGTATTCGGTTTGAAAAGACAGGCGCCATTATGCCCGATCAACCTGCCACGAACGGAACGACAACTCCGGTCACTGCAAAGCTGAGCAACCTTGCTCTGACTGAGTACACCGCCGCTCCCACTCCTCCTTCGGAGAAGGATCAAAACACCGCGCTGGGCTTATCCCGAAACTGGGATATCCCCAATGCATTCCTGCTTCCCAATGGCTACCCAGATGTAAGATTCTAGCTCAATGGATTCGTCGCCAGAAAATAACTAACCACGATCCTAACGACGCAGTACCTCCGTCTTATCCTGACGTCACGGGTCTACGATGTCGTTCAGGAGACGCCGCTACATCACGCCGTCAACCTTAGCAATCGTCTGGAATGTCGTGTGCTTCTCAAGCGGGAGGACTTGCTCCCTGTGTTCAGCTTCAAGCTCCGTGGAGCTTACAACAAGATGGCGCATTTGACCCCCGAGCAGCGGTGGAAGGGTGTTATTGCATGCTCCGCAGGTCCGCAGCCTTTCAATGTGATGATCCAACCCGACTACAGCTGACGGACAAATAGGTAACCACGCACAAGGCGTTGCATTCTCCGCTCGCAAACTCAAGATCCCCGCGACCATCGTCATGCCCTCGGGCACCCCTGCCATCAAGCATTTGAATGTCGCCCGTCTTGGCGGCAGTGTCATCCTTCACGGAAACGATTTCGACGCTGCCAAGGAGGAAGCTCATCGACTGGAGAAGCAGCACGGTCTGACCAGCATTCCTCCCTTCGATGATCCGTACGTGATTGCGGGACAGGGTACCATTGGAATGGAAATTCTGCGCCAGGCAAACTTGGAGAAACTTGAGGCTGTTTTCTGCGCTGTCGGCGGAGGGGGGCTGATTGCCGGTATCGGAGTTTATCTAAAGCGCATCGCGCCGCATGTGAAGGTTATCGGAGTCGAGGCCTACGATGCCAATGCCATGGCCCAGTCGTTGGATGAGGGATCTCGAGTCTTCCTTAGGGACGTTGGACTGTTTGCGGACGGTGCGGCTGTGAAGGCTGTTGGCGAGGAAACATATCGTCTTGCCCGTGAGGTCGTTGACGAGGTCATCCTGGTTTCGACCGACGAGACGTGTGCTGCCATTAAGGATGCCTTTGAGGATACCAGATCTATCATCGAGCCCGCAGGTGCCCTGGCACTCGCAGGTCTCAAGAAGTACATCGCCCAGAACCCTAGCCCCGACACCAACCGGGAGCTGGTCGCCATCACATCTGGCGCAAACATGGATTTCGACCGCTTGCGTTTTGTTGCTGAGCGCGCTGCTTTGGGAGAGCGGAAGGAGGCACTGCTGAGCGTCAACATTCCCGAGAAGCCTGGTGCTTTCGCAAAACTCGTCGAGGTGGTGCTTCCTCAAGCAGTGACCGCCTTTAGCTACCGTTACGCTCGTGCCGAGTCCGCCGATGTTCTGATGGGTATCTCCTTGTCTGCGCAGACGGGCCGCGAAGACTTGGCGAAGATCATGACACAGCTTGAAAAGGCCGGTATGACCGCGAAGGATTTGACCGACGATGAGCTCGCCAAGCGACACGTGCGCTTCCTGGTTGGAGGACGTTGCGACGTCAAGGATGAACGTCTTTTCATGTTCGAATTTCCAGAGCGTCCAGGAGCTTTGGTCAAGTTCCTGACCACGCTCCGGCCGAACCAGAACATCTCCCTGTTCCACTACCGCAACTATGGTGGCGATGTCGGAAAAGTACTGGCAGGCATCCAGTGCCCGAATGCCGAGAAGAAGGAGCTGGAGGCCTTCCTCAACGATCTCGGCTATCCGTTCAGCGAGCAAACCGACTCTCCCACCTACCAGACATTCCTCCGTTGTTAACGATATGCATTGACATTCTCCTCCGTTATTTCGCGTTTCTGCTAGAGGAAATACTTGACCGGTTCGGGTTGTTGATTTTTCTTCTCGGTGTGAAAAGAGTGCTTTATTTTCGTCGGCGTTTGGATCGAAGCATCAGATAGATTAGAGGCTGCAGCCTGCTTTTAATGATCTCGCTCGCATTCTATAGCAATGAATTTTCAATTCTGATCATCTGCTTGAGTTTACAAGGCGGAAGGATATTATAGCAGCAGCAGATCAGCTGTAACGAACAGTTTCACAACGGTACTGCCATTGCCTCTTCACTTTTGATCAGAGGCGATAGGATCGACAGACTTGACGGCCATTCCATCGCCAGCTTGAAAATCCAGAGCCACTTTCAGGCTGTCTATTGGATGCAGCTCCCTGATGTCCTGATGCGGTTTTCAAATCACCAACGACCCCAGCTCCTCCTGTATTCAAGTTCGCTCTGCTTCTCGCTCCAGCGATTCCAATTCTCCGGAGTTTCTCGAGGTTGATCTCCACGTTTATAGATCGAGAAAGCAAGCTTTCTTTCTTTACCCCACATCGCCGGATAGACCCATTCTCCGCGAGCCGTTGCCTTTGAAGCGTCAAAGTCGAGATATCCGGTGTGTTCGTTGTCCTCATCGACCTCAATATATTTGTCGACCATTCGTCCAGCCTACTGGAGGTACACGCGATTCGGTTTGGGGGTCTCGCCCAGCCGGCGTCTGATTGCCTGTCCTCCTGACGATCCGCTTGCTTTGCGTTTTTTCGAGTTCGACCCATAGTCATCGGATTCGTCTTCCTCTCCCTCTTCGCTATAAGGAGGCTGTTCTTCACGGAGACGGTGCAGTGCATCATCGGACAATGCTAGCAGCATGGTTCCTTCAAGAAGACCAAAATGAAATGCGGCCACTACTCCATTTGCGCTTACTGATATGAGCCCACGAGATCGTCCAGCTTCAGCGGACCAGCAGAAGGGCGATAGCTTTTCATATAATCCCGATGAGGCTGTAACGCTTCGTGCCAGAGTTTTCGCCTTTGTGCGCGCTTTCTGGCCTCTTCTTCAGCCTTTTCTCGTTCCCTATCATCCTCATGTCCTTTCTTGATAGACATGACTTTGGCGATGTCCCAGCCAACAATCGTGTGCAAGCTGTCAAATGCACCTCTAGCCTGTCTGAGGTGTAGCCCTGGTATGGACTCTACAACAGTTCTGAGGCGTGGCAGATGCTCGAAGAATGAGTAGAGCTCGATTGGGTTGGTGGTTTTCTTCGGATCGGGCTTACCATTCAAGCCGTGAAGGAAATATTTTGCCATGAAACGGTCAAGGTCGAAATTAGCCTCAGTTGTGGGGATGTGCAACTGACTACCAGGTGCAGAACAAGTTGCAAAGGCAGCGTCGAGTCCGCGCGCTAATGTATCTTCCCATCCAACCACAGTAAGTCGCCTGGTTACATGCGCGACAAGACCGGGTACTGCCTGCACAGCCTTTGGAAAATTCGGTCCATCAACATCTTCAAGTATCAACGCCTCTCTTTGCTTCTCTTTATCTGGCGCCCCGTTCGGTCCGAGGAAATACTTGGCTATGAACAAGTGAGGATCAAAGCGAGCCTCGAGAGAAGGTGACTCCATCTCTGCAAATATAGCCGCTTTTTCACGGCTGATGCGTTCCTCACGAGCTCGTTCAAGGTTGCGGTACTGTTCCGCCAGGGACCTTTCGATGGCCATCACTGCTGGTGTTGGATTTAAGCACTTGGCAATCAGTTCCACGTCCTGTTAGTCAAAGACGCTCTTCTCACCTGCCGGTTCTTCACTGCAGTCTCTAGAGCAGTCTCTAGAGCAGCCTTTAATTGAGCTGCACTAGCCTGTGTATGAAAAGGGATCCCGTAAAGACGTAACTGAGCTGTGACCCACGGCTTGGTTGCAGACCTGACGCGAGCACTAGATGCATTTTTGCGAAAGAGCAGTCTCAACTCCCCAAAAGAAGCTCGAGTAAAACCTCCCGCTTTGATGCCGTCTTTGTCGTAGGTGAAGACGCCCGACTTCAGGGGCTCCGGTGGCTCAGGAGCATAGTATTGATAATACATCTTTGGAGACGTGGTGGGAGCGGTCCCTGGAATTGTTGAGACACAACTGAGAAACAGGAACCCTAAAGACTTGCCCTAATGGCTGGAATAGGAACGATCAAATAGGATGGATGAATTCACAAAGAAGAGCGAAATCAGAATGGATCTTTCATAGTTTCAATTGGAGGAATCGTAGTGGTCCCTGGTACAACCGGCTGCCATAGTACCGTAGTAGTATCAAAACAAACGAAGTAAATCGTCGGTGGAACCTTTTTACTGGATGGAGCACAGTATGGTCCCGTCGATTGATTGGATATCTGAGCGCAGATTCTGATTGGCCAAATGGCTAACTAATGAAGCTTGTGACTGCGGGATGCTCGGCGATACAGAAACTCCGGCGAACATTTGTTCCGCGGATTCGATTACCTTGGGAGCATGAAGCTGACCATCTGAATCTTTTCTCTTGTGAACGGCCGATCAAGAACGAATTGTCGCGGTAAAGGCTATCAGTGCTTTCCGCTATTCTTCAATATGCTGTCCATTCGCTCCATCTTCGGATCGTCGACCCGGGTCCTCCGTCAACTTCTCCCGAGTCAACCATTCTCTCACCAGTTCCTCTCACGGTCACTATCGCAACTATCAAGAGTGTCGGTAGGCAACAGCCTTCGGAGTCTGCGTTCTGCGAAGCAGCAAGATAGCAATGTCGGTGTTGTGGGATCCACCGTGCGACAACTCGAGCAGGTTCGGGGCATGAAGACAAGATCGTCTGTTAAGCGGTTATGCGATGGTTGCAAGGTATGTGTGGTGGCTGTTCTCCAGCGGAATATGCTGCATGCGTGGTCCACATCATACTAACAGCTGGGTTGTCAACAGCCTGTTCGGAGGAAGAACCGAGTTTACATCATCTGGTCAGTGTCGGCGGCTCCCTTTGCATTCGAAAGGTCTGACCATATACAAATGCAGTTCGAAGAATCCGAAGCATAAGCAGCGTCAAGGAAAATGATCGGTGTGCGATGTGGAGCAGAGGAAGTGAAATGGACCGCATCATTAGGGGAAACGATCTTCATCGACTATTTGAACCATGAAGGAAGCCTTATCGACTGTATCATGGCACGGTGCTTGGTTTGGATTCGGCACAGACATGCTTCATTGAACATACGGTTTCGTTGTGATACTCGGGATATGCATGGTCAACTTTATTATCGGTTATTGGTTCCGGCGCTCATGTTATTTTGTACATTAGACAACTGTCTCACTATGTCACTTCTTTTCTCTACATCTGTTTGGCCCTTGGAGTCCATGCACTCGTTCAACTAACCACTTCTCAAACCTGCCACCTTATCCAGAATTCTGCAACTCGAGCTTAAGTGACCTCCAATGATCTCATAAAAAGAGCGTCCAAATTCAGAAGGATTGAGTCGCTTCAAGTTGTTACGAGATTCCACTGCTACCACCAAATTCGCGCTGTCATTCTATCAACAGGCCACAGCAATCGTGGATGAACGAGCAGTAGCATGCGCACAGGTATGAGCCAGTGGCTTTTCCGACATACCATGACCACACATACTTCTTGATGTTGCAAAATTGGGTCCGGGACATTGTGTCGCTCCTGTGCCTCAGGAATGCAGGATGAACCCCGGACTTCAGGTATGTTCAGTCTAGGACTCGCGACCTTCCCACCAATTTCTAAGGCCCGATACCCCTGTGTGAACTATCTAGCAGCCACTGGATAAGAAAACAAGCTTGGACTACATTCACGCATCATGGTTCGCTATTACGCGCAATTCCTGTTGCTAATCCCAGCGACCACCGCATCAACACTGCTATTCTCGCAGCAAACCCTTGATGGCAATAACATTTTAAAACACAATGGCGCGATGGGACCATATGTGGACCGCACCACCTACGGAATCAATCGTGACCCTCCGGCAGGCTGTTCGGTTGACCAGGTGATCATGATCAGACGCCACGGGGAGCGATACCCTCTCGCAAGCGAAGGACCAAGGATAGAAAAGGCCCTGCAAAAGGTCAAGAAGGCCGTGCTTGACGAGCCTCACGTCGATGGTGATCTAAACTTTCTCAAGAATTGGACCTACTTCGTCCCTTCAAATTGCTACTATGACAAGGAAACCACCGATGGACCGTACGGAGGTATTCAGGATGCTTATACGCACGGCGTGGACGCGCGCAATCGGTACGGCCACCTCTGGGACGAAGAGACGATTGTGCCTCTTTTCGCTAGTGACACTGGCCGTATCGTGGACACGGCTCGAATGTTCGGGAAAGGGTTCTTTGGTAATGACGACTATAAGACGAAAGCGGCTATTAATATCATATCCGAATCGGAGCGTCAGGGCGCGGATGCCCTATCGCGTACATGTCATGATCGCGACCACCATGGGCAGCGCATATGCGATGCATGGCCGCAGTCATTGCCCCAGCTTGAGATTGCGGCGCAGCGGCTGAACTCCCAGTATCTCAGCCTGAATTTGACGTCGACGGATATATTCTGGTTGATGAGTAGGTCGCGCCTTTAGCATCTGCCGGCCTATTTTCCCTTTGCTGACCTTACAAGCAATGGCATCCTATGAACCCAACACCCGTGGACACTCGGATTGGACAGGGGTGTTCACCATGGATGAATGGGTCAGCCTGGGGTATATCTGGGATCTACACTTTTACTATTGCGCTGGGTAAGCCGACCATCACGCTTTCAGCTGGTACACCATCAGTGTTGACTGTTCCATTGCTCCTAGACCCGGAAACAAGAAGATGCGTCCAGTCGGCTCCGTGTACGTCAATGCTAGTCTCGCTCTTCTCAATCAGGGACCTTCGTCCGGCACACTCTTCTTCAACTTGTATGTGGACCTCCCTACCCATCTGCCTCCGCAAGTTCAGCTGATATCCATACTTGCAGTGCGCATGATACCGACATCACCCCCATCCTCGACGCACTGGGTATCCTGAACCCACCCGAAGATCTCCCAATCGACCGTGTCGCCTTCGGCCATTCATGGTCGAGTAGTGAGCTGGTGCCAATGGGAGGCCATCTCACCATGGAACGACTGAGTTGCAACGCCACGGCAATCTCACCTGCAGGAACTTATGTCCGAGTAGTCTTGAACGAAGCTGTTGTGCCGTTCCGTGCCTGCCAGGCTGGTCCAGGCTATTCCTGTCCCGTGGAGGAGTATACCTCGATTCTGAGGCGAGATTTACCGGATTATGTCTCAGAGTGCGAGATTCCAGAGTCGTATCCTCAGTATTTGAACTTCTGGTGGAATTACAGTACGGCGACTATTGATAACTACCGTGATGGGACGAAGTGTGATTAGGACGTTTGCTCCAATGGCCTATATTGTCATTACTGTGAGTTGAAAATGACAGGTTCGAATTCAAAAGTTGTATAATTTAAGATTACCAAGTATCCCGTCTGATCAAGCCGCTCTACGACTGCAATGGCTCACCCATACCACCAAAGGTCACGCTCTTAATCGTGAGGAACTCGTCAATCCCGTACTTGCTGCCCTCACGGCCGAAGCCACTCTGCTTAACACCACCGAAACTAGCGAAAGTTAGCACAATGCAGTAGCTCTCGGTCTGACAGGGACACTTACGGAGAGGCGACATCGCTGATAAGACCTGTGTTGACACCCACCATACCGACTTCCAGCGCCTCCGCAACCCGGAAAATACGCTTGATGTTGCCGCTGAAGAAGTAACCAGCAAGTCCAACCTCTGCACGATTAGCCAGCTCGACAACCTCTTTCTCGGTCTCAAAGGGGAAAAGTCCCGCCACAGGGCCGAATGTCTCCTCGGAGGCAATTAACATATCCTTGCTCATCTCCGCGAGTACAGTCAGCTCGTAGAAGTTGGGGCCCAGCTCGGGGACTCTTTGGCCTCCAGCGACGAGCTTGGCTCCCTTGGCTTGAGCGTCCTTGACGTGCTGGTCGACTTTCTCGATGGCACGCTCGTGGATAACCGGGCCGTGAGTGACACCATCCTCGAAGCCAGCGCCGAGCTTGAAATCCTTGACCTTTGCGGCGAAGCGCTTGACGAATTCATCGTACACGCCTCTCTGGATGTAGATCCGGTTGGCACAGACGCAGGTCTGGCCTGAGCTACGGAACTTGGAGGCAATGGCTCCAGCGACTGCGGCGTCGAGGTCCTCGACATCATCGAAGACAATGAATGGTGCGTTTCCGCCGAGCTCCCAAGACACCTTCTTGATAGTAGACGAAGCCTGCTTCATGAGCAGTCTACCGACGTTGGTCGAACCGGTAAACGAAACCTTGCGAACTTCAGGATGGGTGGTGATCACCTCTCCCACCTCGGGCGTATTTTTGTGCGCAGTCACAATGTTGACCACGCCCTTGGGGATACCCGCGCGATGAGCCAGCTCCGCAAGGGCATTCGCAGTGAAGGGTGTTTCGCCGGGAGTCTTGCACACAACCGTGCAACCAGCCGCCAGAGCCGGTCCGATCTTCCTTGTGATCATAGCAGCAGGGAAATTCCACGGAGTGATCAAGCCGCAGACACCCACGGGCTGCTTCAACGTCATGATTCGGTTACCGGGAATTGATGCAGGGATGGTGTCGCCGTAAATACGGGGTGCTTCCTCGCTGAACCATTCGAAGAAGCTGGCTGCGTAGTTCACCTCGCCCTTGGCGTCCGCTAGGGGCTTCCCGTTCTCCCATGTGATTAATGTTGCTAGATCTTCCGCATTATCCATCATCAATTGGTACCATCGTCGCAACATGCGGGCACGCTCGCGCGCTAGGGTTTTGCGGAACTTGGGAAAGGCAGCTGAGGCGGCCTCGATGGCCTTTTCTGTGTCAAGGACGTCGAACTCGGGACATGTGCCGATAAGTCTTCCAGAGGCGGGATCTAAGTTGGATATGGAATAAGTTTCATTCCAACATCAGGAGAGCACAAGTCTTACCGTGGACTTCGAATGTCTTTCCTGACTCTGCTTCTACCCATTCTCCATTGACATAAGCCTTCTCAATGAAAAGAGACTGGTC